TTCAGTCTGCCAGTAATGAGTTTAGATGCCTTTAACGCTGATGTCATCCACCTTAAACCCACTGTGTCTGCGAGGGACAAGTATGCACTCTGAGGCGATAACATCAGTGTTTAAAAAGCGTTTAAAACAACAACAAATTAAAAAATAAAATATTTGTTATCGGATCGCATTTTTCATGAAACACAATGAAGAAATATTGTTTACAACTTACAGCTTAAACAGTTTTTTTAATTATGGTTACATTTTGGCACCATCAGCACTTCACAAAGGTTAGGGAATTTACTAACTTCATGTGAAGTGCTTGAGTTGCCTAAACCTAACCACAGAGGAGAGCACAGACACAGGTGAGAATGTGAGAATTGTGCACTTCTCTTGTCTACCTCAACAGCCTCCTGGCAAAGCTCTGCACAGTGCTTAAAAACAGTGCTTAAAAAAAAAATTCCTTTCATGCCTCCATCCCCCCTACAACATAACTCAGTAACAGTGTAGCAATCCATGATAACAAGTTCTAGAAGACAGGCAGATTTAAGGGTGTAGTACATGAATCTGTTAACTGATTCAAAGTCTTAATGTCGTGTCCTGTGTTATTATCACTCGGGGCTCTATACGAGGGCAGGTGAGCAAAACAGTCTGTTGTGTCTCTTTTTTTAAATGTCACTGTGGAGGCCCTAGTTGTAGCATGTGTTTTCCTGTACTGTAATCCTGCCTACATACAGTAATGTGGACAGGTCATAGTCAGAATCCCTAAAATGTTTCTGATTCAGCTAAAACCGTTACATGACTAAAAAGAATCCAAACAAATGAGCTGGTAATAATGCTTGGAAGCTATTTGCATGTTCTCGTATCAACCTCTTCTGTAGTAACCGTGGAGAAAGGACACACACGTTCAAACACACACACACACAAACACATGATGAAATAAGTTAAACATTAGGGACAAAAGAGTGAGCTCACTGACAAATCCAAACCACAATAGTGTCATCTTGTCATCGAACTAATAATGCCTGCAGTGAGCTTATAAGGTTCTCTTTTTTTATGTTTCCCTCTAGTGGCGACACCTGACGTTACCACCACCAGGCTCGCCCCTAAACCAATTGCAGGTAAAGTAGCCAAATTGTGTTGCCTGTGAAATTATTGAACTGATGTAAATTATGGAAACTAACTCTCTCATGTGTTATTATAGATACGGTGTGGTTTCTGGTGATAATTGCCCTCCTGTGTACAGGAATTGCACTGGTTGTTGTGACAAAAATCAAGCCATTTTTAGTCTGGATTAGGTTCACTCACGGTTAGTAGATTTCTTTTAAATCACTTAATATTTTTCTTAGAACTTTTGTGTTATAAATACCTCCAAATGATTGAATTCTTATTAAAAACATCCTGTCATTTCTTGCTGCTCAGGGTACTTCTTGGCTGAAAAACCTGCCACACAACCTGCATGTGATGAAGAAGTGTCCAAGCCCATCCAGGAAGTGTGCGGGAAATGTGACCAACCTATGTGTTAAAAACCAGATCTGGAATTTGGAGGAGCGAGAACCTGACAAGACACTCAGTGGCACATCCCAGATGGAAAACATTTGCCACTGCTTTTGGACATTTAAATAGAGCTAAAAGGCACTCCGCGCCGTGCTGATCAGTGAAATGCCAGAAGGTGGAAAGTTTGAGACTGTTGCTGTTTCCTGAGAGGACAGATGATCATTTTGGCATCTGTGACTTTGAAGTGTATAAAATTGTGGTTGGTAAAAATCTTGGAACTGATAAGACAGAGGGGACATTGTGGCAGTGAAAGGAAAGTATGTACTATAGTACATAAAGTTAAACATATTTTATGTATATCTACATATATGTGCAGACATAATTAGCTGCTTTTGTAGCCAGCTTTTCAATATCACATGTGGATGTTCTGTGTACATTTTTTCTTCTATTTCTTTTTCATTTAAAATAAACTTAATAAATTTGACTAAAACTACCTAATAACTACCTAACAAAGCTTTCTACACCTTGGATGGCATTCTTTGCACTGAGCTAAAGAAGCTTATTAAAAGTATATACAAGAGTTCGTAAATCATAACTTACAAAGAAGACCACTTTGCAGCTGTTCTTCCGAGATTTAATACATTTCTGAGGTGAGTGTTTTCCAGAAGCTGCAGAAACAAAGTCAGAGCATCCGCAGCTTGCTGAGGAAAGACGAATATGATCCATACTCATCTGTGGTTTCAAAGTTTGTTGTATCCAAGTCTTCTGAATTTTTTGAGATGCATCATAGGATCTCCTCTTTCGACATGTGGGAGTCTTTCCCCTGCTCCTGGGAAGGGAAGAAAATGGTGTCATTCTCTCCGCTCCTCTCCTCCTCAGAGAGATGAATGCTGGGAGAAGATGCAGGATGAAACACTGGACAGTTTCTCTCATCCTCTTCCTCTCTCCTCGCTCTCTCAGCTGTCTTCCCGCATTCGGTCGTCGGCCCGACTTGACCCGTAAATTGACTGAGCAAGCTAAAGATGACTGTGCCTGGATTGTGCACATGGACCGGACCTACAGGGAGAAAACAAGAGCAGAGAATGCATCAAAGGATGTTTTTAGCAACCTACAGAGATACATTAACCTACGATCTACAGAACAGGACAGCTAAGTGCAACTCGGACTCATAACGGTATCACAGCTGCATCTTTTTGTTTCTAGCATATTTTTTCTCGAGTGAGTCAAGCATTTCACATAAGAAGTCTTCATTTTACTCAGCTGTACCAAGATTGGCTGCTGAAGGTGTTGAGGGCTGCTGCTTTGTACTGAATGAGTCTCTGGGGAACTGATGAGTTGGCTCCCTTGACTTGTGAGAAGCACCTCGCCCTTCCTACAGGAGAACACAACCATGAATTTGGCGCAAACAAAGGAAAAAGGATGTAATCTATGTAAACACATGAGAGTTCATTAGACTTGTACCTCATTCCAGAGCTTTGCAATAGCTGAAAAAACAGTAGATTGAATAATGAGTAATAGGAAACTGGTGTGTTTTCACATTTCATGAGTGGTGACTCAACATGACTTAGCAAGGGCAGTGAAGAACATATCAGCAAAGGGCATGATAACCCTAAATTCACAGTAATTTCCACACTGATCTTGTTAAACATTTATTGTTTCTCAGAAGTGAATTAATCACAGAGTTTGACAGAGGCGACAGAAAATGAGCACTTCCTGGACGTAAACATCTTACTTTGCCTTATATATGTCTCATCTCTTGGACGACAGACACAGAACAAGGCGAGAAGGGCCAAAGCTGCAAGGACACCCACTGGAATGAAAATAGCTGCCAGGTAACGGTTGGCATGACCTATAGGAGAAATAAAAGGATGATTAGTGCTGTGCCTGAAATCTCTCTTTTGCAGTGTAACACATAAAAGCATTAGCAGCTTTGTACATAAAAATCCAGAGAGAGTTTTTCACTCTATATTTAACAGAAGCAAAATGTTGCTTTTGATTCCTTATCTTTCTCCCAGCTGAGAGTTCAGTCCAGTTCTTTCCATAGATGATTAATTAGATTAACACTGTTGGCTGCATGAACATGACACTTATGTGCAGTGTCAAAAAGCTGTATTTAATTTCCTAAAACATACTCTTTCATTATTTAAAACTCATTTTATAAAATCCAGCAAGGATTATCAGGATTTTCCCTGTTTTCTTTTTGAAACCTGGGCTCCTCGACCGTGGACTTCAGGATCAAAGTGCTTTGTCTGTACCCATAAGTAGATTCAGTGTACAGCAGGGAAGTCATCCATCCTCACATGCACATTTTCAAAATGGACGATAGATAAGAAAAATAATAATAAATTCCCTATTAGCACTTTTGCCTCACGACAAAAGGTTCTGGGTTTGAATCCACCGTCTGGCCTTTCTGTGTAGAGTTTGCTCAGTGTCTGTGTGGGTTGACTCCGGCTTCCTCCCACAGTCCAAAAAACATGCACACACTGAGGGTGGAGGTGTTTCTAAATTGGCTATAGGTGTGAATCTGAGTGTGAATGCTTTTTTGTCTCTCTCTGCATTAGCCTTGCAACAAATTGGCAACCTGTGCTTGGTGTACACCGTCTCACATGCTACGGTAGTTGGCATGGTCTACAGCGATTGCTGGATGGATAAATGTAGAATAACAAAGCTGCTTGTTCATCTGAGTGATGGCTGCTGGAACAAAGCTGCTTTTAAGCACTGTTGTTCTGTACTTTGGGACCAGAGGCCTTTATCTACATGGAAACTGAAAGTCAAAATACATGTCGTCAAAACAAAAAATAAAACCTGTCAATTGCTATACAGTAACTGTCTTGTAGCCAACAGGGATCCTGGGTTTATTTGTGGCTAACGAATCAGAGTGAGTTTTTGTTCTTCACAGATAAACATCCAAACCATGACAGTAACCAAGAGGACAAAACAGACTCAGTAAATCCCATCCATCCATTTATTTCTGGTTATCTGATTCAGGGTGGGGGTGAACCCAGCTGTCACAGGGTAAGAGACCACGTACACCCTGGACAGGTTGACAGTGTCTTGCAAGACTAACACAGAGAGAGGACAACCACTCACACTCACATTCACACCTACAATGAATTTAGAAAAGACATTAACCTGAGCTGATGCATCTCTTTGCAATGTGGGTGGAGGCCAGAATAGCTGGAGAGAACCCACACAGGCAGGGGGTGGACATGCAAACTCCACACACAAAGTTCAGTTTGGGTTCAACAGATGTCCCAAGATATTTATAAAACTGAACGCATTCAATATGACCGCTTGTGCATTAGAGCATTTTATAAAATTAGTGATCATCTTTTGTCTTAACCCTTTAGCGTTCTGCTCAACCAATTGGTACAGCACATTTTCGGGCCCTATATCTAACTTGCACTGAAATTGACCTACCTTGTTGAGTCTTTTCTACCAATTGGTTTACATCTGTAATGCCAAAAAAATCCACCAGAAGGCACTGTGAATGGAAACTGTTGGCTCTTCTTATACCTCTCCCAACCAGGAAGTCAGAAACAAAAAACCATCCAACATATTTTGAGTGTTTTTGATTAAACTAAGATATAATTTTTTGATATATGATAGTGTTAGAGGACTTACTAAACAGATGTAGGTCACTTGACAGCATTAAAAAAGTGAAATTAAATTTTCTTCTTTTTTTTTTTAAAGTGGTCAACCAAACGGTTGATTTGGCCCTTTATGGTGCGAATGCTAACATAACCTAAATGTTATTAAAATTTATTATTTGCCATTAAATCAGACCACTAGACCCATTTTGTTTATCCATTGCTATTGATAAATCACAGTAAGTGTTAGTACAGCAAGAATATGGTGAAATAAATTCCTCAATAAATCATTTTTGTAACTTTCCGAGTTAATATTAGTAAATATTGTATAAATCAAGAATAACACTTGGAAATCACACATATCACAACTGATTACCTTTTAACCAAATTAGAGTAGCTGGTAAATTAATATTACTAAGTTGTCAAAATTATAATTTCATGTTGAACAAGTAGCCTACTGTATGGACGCTAAACAATTATATGGCTAAAAATCACATGGTCCTGTGGCATGATCCTCGTGATACCATTTTTATGATAATAATAATAAT